TTTTGTAAGGGGGACACCACTATGGTAATTTCACGAAAAATAATTCCCAAAAGTTCCCAGTTCCTACCCTTTTCCACCTATTGCCCCCGTGAATGGCAGCTTTTGCAGATGTCTAAAATTCCCATTTTTCTCTTCTTTCCTCTGCTTCTTTCTTTCTATCTTCGATACAACCGTACTCGATGGATTCCAGTTCCATATCTCCTTGCTAGAACTAGAAAATCTATTCAATGGCAAAACCAAATCAAACCCCAACATTCAGCAAACTTAAGCTGAATGATATGCCTCCAGCAATCACCTCTTCTTTCATCTACTTCTTCTTCCTCCTGCTTCCACTCCTTGTGTTGAGCTCTGCAAATGCTGTTTTAGTTGCAGAAACTCAATCCACTGAAGTCACCTTGAAACCCCATTTCAAAAACAGGGCTTCCAGTGATGCATTTCTTTTACAGGGAGCCGGCGAGTTTGGACGGCGAGGAACAGTAGTGGGAAACAGAGGAAAGAAATTGGAGTCCAGCAATGTTATAATCAGAGGCAACGAAGTGGTTCAGAGCGATGACCGGACTTTCGAGTTGGGATTCTTCTCCTGTGGGGAATCCGACTGGTACTTGGGAATCTGGTACTCTTCCATACCTACCCCAACATATGTCTGGGTCGCAAATCGCGAAAAGCCTGTGAAAAATCTCTCCCAATCTTCTCTTGAAATCACCGACGCCGGACAGTTAGCAGTGAAGGAGTCGCCGGATTCGGTCGTCTGGCAGAGTACGAACGAGGAGAAAGCGGCAAACTTAAGTCTTTTAGAGAGTGGAAATCTGGTGCTGCTATCGTCGGGGGGTTCAGTCCTGTGGCAGAGCTTCGATCATCCGACGGACACGTGGCTGCCGGGAATGAACATCACTGCCGAGAGATACCTCACCTCTTGGCGGAGCTTGGACGACCCATCGTCGGGAGTGTTCTCTCTCCGGCTAAATCCACAAAGGTTTAACGAGTTCCAGCTAGTGTACAACAACTCCAAGGTATATTGGTCCACCGGAAACTGGACGGGGACTGCATTCGCTAATGTACCAGAAATGACGATCCCTTATATTTACAAGTTCCATTTCCAAGATCCATACATGCCAACGGCGTCGTTTTGGTACACCGAGAAGGCGATGGATAACGGCAAACCGCCATTGACGAGGTTCCGGATGGATGTTAATGGGCAGCTTATGCAGTATACGTGGACGACCCAGACCGAGAATTGGAACATGTTCTGGTCGCAACCGGACGATAAGTGCAGGGTTTATGGGTTGTGTGGTGATATGGGGTCTTGTATCAGCACAGCCTTGAAGCCCTGTTTTTGTCTCAATGGTTTTAAGCCCGCTGATGATCGTGGATGGAATGCCGATGACCAAACCGGCGGTTGTCAGCGAGAGAGTAGCGATGCATGCGCAAGCACAGATGGGTTTGAGGAGGTTGGGGTTGTGGAGTTTGATGGAGGGTCTACGGTGTCGTTTCCAGGTAACAGGAGATTCTGTGAGAAGTCTTGTTTGAGTAATTGTTCTTGTATTGGGTTGTATCACAATGGGAAGACTAATCAGTGCAAGAATTTATATGGGTCTCTCCTGAATTTAAGAAATTTGACGTCTATGGATGGAGATGTGCTCAATGTTAGGGTTCCAAAAGAGGGAATTGTGAAGAAGAGTGTGTCGAAAACTATGGTTTTGGTTGGCAGCATTGTTGGGTCAATTGCAGTTTTAGGGTTCACAGTGATGATGCTATTGATTTTGAGAAATAGAAGAGGGAAGAGAAAGGGTAATGATGAGGATGGTGAATTTCCTGTCTTGAATTTAAAGGTGTTTACTTTCAGAGAGCTTAATGCCGCAACTAGGGGATTTTCTGAGAAACTTGGGCATGGTGGATTTGGTGCAGTTTTCAAAGGAGAGCTATTGGATTCTGCTCCTGTTGCCGTGAAACGCCTTGAAAGGCCGGGCAGTGGAGAGAAGGAGTTCCGGGCAGAGGTGTGCACCATTGGGAACATTCAGCATGTCAATCTTGTGAGACTCAGAGGGTTTTGTTCAGAGAATTCTCATAGAATGTTGGTTTATGATTACATGCCCAATGGTCCTTTGAGTGCCTATTTATGCCGAGATGGTCCTAATTTGTGCTGGGATGTTAGATTCCGGATAGCTGTCGGCACTGCAAGAGGCATTGTGTATTTACATGAGGAATGTAGGGATTGCATTATACATTGTGATATCAAACCAGAAAACATTCTTCTAGAGAGTGATTACACAGCTAAGGTATCTGATTTCGGGCTGGCAAAGCTAGTTGGGAGGGACTTCAGCAGGGTATTGGCCACAATGAGGGGCACTTGGGGCTATGTTGCACCTGAATGGATCTCTGGTTTAGCAATTACTGCAAAAGCTGATGTTTACAGCTATGGAATGACATTGCTGGAGTTGATTGGTGGGCGCCGAAATGTTGAGGCACCACCACCTGCTGGAAATACCAATGTGTATGGCGAGGGAGGATATGGAGAGAAGTGGTTTTTCCCTCCTTGGGCTGCACACCAAATAATCGAGGGCAATGTAGCAGCAATTGTTGATAGCAGGCTTGGGGTGGCATACAACATTGAGGAAGCGGAACGTCTTGCATTGGTAGCAATTTGGTGCATACAGGATGAAGAGGAAGTGAGGCCTACAATGGGAATGGTGGTGAAAATGTTGGAGGGAGTGGTGGAAGTGCCCATCCCTCCGCCCCCAAAATTGATACAGGCACTAGTTGCAGGGGATTCTTATCATGGTGTTAGGATGGAGTCCGGTGCCTCTGGTGGTTGCTCTGATTTTAATGTTGGATTATCTAGTGCTGGTTCACGTTCATCACCTGGTAACGTATCTTCCCCACTGAATGAGAATCCAGAGATTTGATTAACAAGATCATTCATGTTTAACTGAGCAAAGCTAATATGTCTGATTTCAATACAAATCATTGTGTCTCTGTTGCTCCCTCATCCTAAGTTTAGTTCCTTTCCCCCTTTTTGTATTTCTTTTTTTCAGTGAAAACATAGCAGTTGAGGGATTGTAGAATCAAGTATGTAGATCACCATGAAGATGTACATAAGTTACTAGAGTTGTGAAATTTTGCCATTTTGATGTGATTTCTTCATATGATTCTGAGTTCTACTTGATTCACATGCTTATGAATATATTCATAGCTACATGGAAAGATTATATTAGGAATTGTGTTTGTGACAGGTTGACATTTCCCCCAAGACATAGAAAGACATACAAAGTATGATGCCCATCTTTACATCAGAAAGGTAGTTTCACACCAGTTTTTCCACTTCGCACATCCCCTGGCCTCTTAGCCTTTTCATGGCTTTTCTTATCATACAATATGGCGTTTGTGAAGGAGCTCAAGGTCTTCTTTTTTGACATTTTGTAGCAGGAACATCTTTTTAAGGTTGTTGAAACCTGAAAAAGGGGACAACCCTTTCCTTGTCTCTCTTCTCTTGAGCCCAAAAATTGGACGAAAATGGGGAAGTTTTCTTTTTCTCTTCTTTCAAAAAAGATTGAATTTTGAACTGAATTTGGGTCTCTTGAGCCCAATATAAACTGAACCCAGACCACAAACCAAACCTTTATCTTTAGCCCACAACACGACCAAGTCCTGTCCTGTCCAAGGTAAAAACTGTCTTTGTCCTGTTAGAAGCTGGTTTCTTTCCTCATTTATAGCCAAAACACCACTCGTTTTCTAACACACTTATATTCATTTCCACGAAAGAAACAAAAAAAAAAATTCAATTTCCCTTTTTTATTCATTTCCAATTCATCTTCAACAAAGACAAATTCAAGGGTTCTTCAGAAATGATGCAAAAATTGCAGAGGAGAAGAACAATCCATCCTCTGCCGCATCATTCTGTACCCGAAACTCACCGATCCCCCCAGATGTCCTTAATATTAGTTTGTTTTTTTGCTTAATATGTATTGTACAATTTTGCTTTTATTTTCTTTTTTTCAGTCAGATAAAAGCACAGTAATTAGATACATTAGCATCATCAACTGAATTTCTAAAATTTGGTGGTTGGCCTTCCATTTGCAATTTTTTTTTTAATAAAATAAATAACTAATTGAAACTCTTATAATATATATATATATATATATATACAAAAGAATTCAAATTTTAACCAAACATATGAAGAAATTGTCTTTTTACTAATAATTTAATTAGTTATTCTACTATAATTTCTCTTCTATTAATCATTTGCAAATTCAATGCCATGAAAGATGGATAAAAACTACACACCATAAATAAATCAACCAACTACTAATAAGGAAGCTCAAGACTCAAGACTAAAACCTCAATTGAAAGCATGTAAATTAATGCCGTGGGTCCATTGTCATTCATAATTTGAAGAAAACCTTAATTTTTTTTTTTAAACATTATGATTTGATTCGAATCCTATATCTTCAAGTTTTAATATGAGAAACTTTTTATAAAAACAAAATAACTACTAAATCATAAAAATATTCTCACCTTAAATATCCTTTTAGTTAAAAAGAAACAAAAAAAAAAAAAGTGAAGAGAGAACGAGAGACAATATTTTTTTAATTTTTTTAATTTTTTTAGTTATATTAAAATTATAAAAAAAAATTAAAGAAAAACTTCTTCCTATCTAAACTTCTTCCCATCTCTTCCTTTCTTTCTAATTCTTATAATTCAAATAATTTTTTTTTTTCTCTCCAACCATACAAAATATAATTGTTTGTTGAGTACCCAATCTACCAAACACGGCCATTTAAATTTTTATAACTACAGCTCTTCAGAATTGACTTTGATTGAGGATTCGAGGGTCAAAAATCAAAAACGAAAGGACACGTCTAATATTAAATACTCTGTAGAGTCCACATCTATCTGTTTAGCGTTTTTACTTATACATACATATATTTTAATAAATTGCAGAACGGACCCCGCTTGTATCTTTCTCTAATTACGTTTCGAGTTACATAGTTTTGCCTTTTGTGCTAGTCGGCCCTAAACATTTACTCGAGTTTCCATTCGCTCCTCAATTTCCATGGCTTGACCTTCTAAGTTATATTTGTAAGGTTAAATGTTAATTTTAATTCTTAAATAATATTAATAGTACTGTAAGTGGTAGACAACATAAGTTCTACCATTGATTAAAAAAATAGTATAACTTTGTCTTATGTTTACCAAATATGACATTGAGCATATTTATTTAAAAATAAGTATCAATGTTCATTAATTTAATTAGAAATGAATGTTAAAATCTAATTCATCTTGTACAAAATATATTTTTTTAATCATTAATAAAAAATTAAGCCTACAATAATAAAAGATTTATTTTTTATTAATAATTATAAGAAATATAATTTAGGACACTCGTGGAGCTAAGAGGGTTTGAGAGGGGCAAAGGTTCCCCAAATTTTTGTAAAAAATTCAGTTTGGTCTCTTTTGTTTTATTTTTATCATTTTTATTCTTATATCATATCATTTTAATCATTTTTTTAGTATTTTATGTTGCTGAAGATTACTTTTGATAATAAAGAGAAAGATGGGGAAGCTAAAGATAATATAAAATATGAGAAAAAATAGAGATTAACTAAATAAAAGTTATTTATTCTCAACTTGCATAAAGTGTATGTTTCATTAAAATCTTCTACTTAATCTATGCTTATTTTTATCGTTCGCTTAATAGTGTTTATATTACATTATCAACTTTTATCCTTAAAAATTAACAAATATTATTTTAAATATTTTTAACTTTTTAAATTAACACACAAAATTATTATTTTTAGTTAAAATTTTATTTTGTCCTTACTAAAAATATTTATTAATTCCGCCCTAGCATAGGGAAAATTACACTTCACTATTCTTTAATATTTTATTTTTTTGGGTAACTTAATTTTTTTTTTGAAAGTAAGAATTACATTAATAGTATTAATATCTACAATAATAAATGAAAAAAAAATCAAAAATATCAAATCTGAAACTTAACTTAAAGATCATCAGAGGTGCCTTCACTTATTTCTCAATAAGAAACGTAACTACGACAACTACATGGATAAAAGGCAAATCACTTTTCTTTAATTAGAATACGATGGAGATCTAACATTGGCAGCTAAACTTTCTTCTTCATAAAAGAAGAATTTTTGAGATTGACGGAGGGATGAACGAGCCAGGGATTTGAACCTTAGCCGCCTATTGATGACCACTTCGGTCAAGTCCCACGTTCAATAATTAAAATTTTATTA